CATTGCAATTTACAGGCATGGACTTACTTTATGGTATTCTTTTATTAAAAGCTCAATAACTACACTCTGATACTTTAAATTCATAATGGCAGCCATGCTTTCTTCCTTAGACTTCATTAGAGTTGGACCAAAGACTACACCAAGATTACTGGCAGCCATCAGGTTCTTATTGGAGTGAGCTGCCACTCTAAAACAAAGAAAACTCTACTCAGTAAACACTATTGATGTACTCCTATAGATAATTCTCTATTATCAGGAAATGGTTGTTATCTTAAAAGATAATCTTTTGATACAAAACAACTTACTTTCTCAGATGAGTCATAATTATAAAAATGAGATTTCTATTGTTTTCAGGAATCATTTGCATCAACTTCTTTAACTTTGCTATTCTTTTGTCATATGTATCTTGTCCTAATAATGAAACATCAACATATCAAGTAGCTGTAGAGATATCTGTGGTTTTTTGAAGTACTCTACTTACTGACAGCATCCAGAAAGTCCTCATGATAATCAAAGGTAAAAACTGGTGGACACATGTTCCTACACAAAACAAAGTGTAATCATAAATAGAGCGGATTTCATATGACTGTGCAAATAACACGGTTACTTTCGGGCTGTGACCATACCGTGCCATATCAGTGATGTATTGTTAAATCTTTATTTTTATTTGGAATCCTAGAAGGTGAGGTTCTGTGTCCGTGTTGTGATCCGTGCCATTGCACAGTCATACAAAATCTGCTCTATCACTGAGATGAGTTCAATGACTAATGTGAGGGATGCAAGGGTTGTTGAGCAATTAAAATACTGGCCAAACATGACCCTGGTTTGATTCCTGGTCTGTGGCTATATTATTATTTGAGTTTGTTGGCTAGTTAATATCTTAAGGTACACTATATGGTTGGTCTTCCTCCCTTAAGGACTTATTGTCTCTATTACATAATTGATTTAAAATTGTAAATTAAATATGTTCAGGGTTAAACTAGGATAATCTGTGTTTCTGTGGAAACCATAAAGTAAAAGAGGTCACAAAGAAAAAATAAAGAGTTATATATGTAACTATTTTGATGAGATTCTTTAGCTCTTAATAATAATTTCTTACTTAATTCATTACAGTTTAAAAGAAATGTTGAGTGCTAAAAAAAACATTGGAATATAAAGTGTAGTAAAAATCAATCTGCTGCGTCATCTTACCTTAGATACTGCTTCAAAGCACTAGTAATAGTTTTCACTTCAAATTCACATTCATCACTTTCCAAATCTATAGATGAAATCTTTTTCTTTTCTATACACTGAAAAATAACATTCTGGACTTTGGATCCAACGCCGACAATTCTGTACAGTCCTTGATCTGTTATACCTAATTATTACAAATTGTCTGTTTAGTAAAGTATTTTTTTTAAATAAAAAGCACTAGTAATAGTTTTCACTTCAAATTCACATTCATCACTTTCCAAATCTATAGATGAAATCTTTTTCTTTTCTATACACTGAAAAATAACATTCTGGACTTTGGATCCAACGCCGACAATTCTGTACAGTCCTTGATCTGTTATACCTAATTATTACAAATTGTCTGTTTAGTAAAGTATTTTTTTTAATTAAAGTGTGCACTATTGTTTTCAGGAGTTATCTATTGTAATATCTATCATTATGTTATACCTAATTATTACAAATTGTCTGTTTAGTAAAGTATTTTTTTTATTAAAGTGTGCACTATTGTTTTCAGGAGTTATCTATTGTAATATCTATCATTAATTAAACTGGAGTTTCAATAGGGATTTCAAACAAATGTCTTTGATTGTCTACAGTTCTTACCTCTAGTTTCAATAGCTTTAATTGCCTTTTTGATGAATTCTAAACCCAGCTCAGTCTTTTCATCTAAACAATAATACCTCATTTTAATCATTTAACTGATTAACTCAAGTTAACCCTGAATTCTAGGATAAAAATGTGTCCTCTATAAAAACACACTCTGAAAACTAAAATGCAAGGTTTTCTTGTTTGGTGCAAACGTTTGACACTAAAAAACAAAAGGTAGAATACCAAAGTTGACCAAAAAGTATTCATTTTCATTTGCCAATCAAACTAAAACTACTGTTGTACTTAACTACTGCTATCAAAATGCTTATTGAGGAAAAAATAGATGACACTTACCATCATCCATGACAGGGAACTGATTTGAATCCATGTACACCTGTATTAATAAAATTCACAAATAAGTTCTTACTTTACTGTACAGCATTGTCTTGAAAAATAGTTGTTTTAAAACTAATTGGATATGAATCATGSACATTAATGAGTACAAATTTTACCGGTTCTTTCCCATCCATGGCTTCCARCCATAGTTTTCTGTCTTCTTCGTTCAAACACTGCAACGTTATAGGTCCCTGCCTGAAAACCGAAACTTGAATTTGTCAATCTCAYCGTAAGGACTAMAGCAAAAMKTTAGGGCAAARATCTAAGACTTCCATTGCCTCAGCAACAACTGTCTCTGCAGTTCCTTAGGGAAGCTTACTTGTTATCCATACTATTAAGCATGACTGATAGCACATTTTAAACATACCTATCCAATGCAGTRATATCAAAACAAAATCTCCTGTCAGTTGAATCAGACATTTTCCTGAAGACAGAAGTATCAAATATCAATTAGTATCTAAAAAAATGGGCAGTCATGCATTAATCAAATGCAAGTAATGGAATGGAATCAGAGAAGAGCAGAGCAGAGAGTGGGAATGAAGGAATGAATGAATGGGATGGAAAGGATGATAGCAATACCTTGTACATGATGTTATAACCATTGTATCTGTACAAGAACTCTGTTGATAAAACAAGAATTAATAAGCATAATCAACATTTCTTTTATTCTTCTTGAAATTGATAATACTTGGTGACATACTGAATTTTTATACAGTGTAGTTATAATAATATATATATAAAATATAACAATTTTATAGTCATAACATACTGAAACAAAAATCTCTATAATACTACCACCAGGATAATTTTTTATAATAGTAAAGTGATATAAGCATTATTTTCCATTACAACTACATTTCATGTCAAAAYGAAAAACGTTCTTTCACAACATGAGAAAGAACGTTASAGCTTACCGATTTGCCTTGRGTTTGTACATAAGGAATCATGGTTAAAATCTTGTTTTCTTTGGTGTAATAGCAGTAATGTTTTGTCCAGGTATAGCCCAGGCCACCTACAGTTAGATCACTTCATCAACATATCAAACATACTTCACTCAAATAACATCATGAAACTCAAATATAATCTRTCACAGCTAGTGAAAGAGAAAATACACAAACATGAATGGCAAAGAAGAGCAACTATTTGATAATAATCTTAGTCTGCATTTCCAAGTACATATACAAAATTAATGGGCTTGAAGTAAAGTAAAAAAAAACATATTCAACATTGATAGAGCCCACAGTGTGCTCATTGACGACCCTGACTCTGCCATCTCTCTGTTACAAGATACTTAAACTACAAGGAAAGGAAATAAGTTGAAACTAGGATGTGAGATCCCTTGAAGTCACTTTTACTCCGACGAAGGATTAACGTCTGAAACGTCAGTAAGTTACTTCTTCTACTTTTTTACGGTGTTTAATTCATCTTTTTACACAACTGTTTCTTTAGAAACACCGACGCAGCTCACACTACATTGTAGTTTACTGCTAGTTCCCACCACCCTTGAAGTCTAAAACATTCTGTGCAGGAAATACCTTTTCTCTTTTCTTGGACATATAAATATCCTTGTCTAGTGTGCGTCCCCTGATACTGCAGTTCACCACTTGACGCTTTCTAAAATGATGCACACATCTTGTTTGTTATGAACAACATACTAGCTCAAAACAAGCTAACAACTCAAGAAAATGYAAGTGTCMTATGAAGAAAACTTGCTTAAGCCTCAACGTAAGCAGTGATAGACTAGTGCAATAAATATTTCTTAATTGCTATTAATCATTAATTACTAATYATTTAATAATAATTACATTTGTTATACAATGTCTTAGACCATCTATTGTAGTATAACTGGCCTTTTAACTTACCTGCTGGACTTTATTCATAAGCGTTTCAGCTTGCTCTTTTGTGGCACTGAATCTATCTCTAGTCTAATGGGACAATAAACACATTGTTAACCTAGCRAGTTTAGATGACAAAATGGSCAGTATCAAGATGTTTATTAGAGCTTCTTGTTTAGCCCAGACCATTCTTTATTCAAAATCATGGATCTGTGTTTGRGAGTTTTAGTTTCTATCAGTGATAAGCACATGTTACATACATTTTGTAATCTTAGCTGTAAATCTGTCATATACTCCATGTAATCCTTGAAAGCTTCATGTCCTAGAATAGAAAAAAAGTGATAGTTTCATTATTTTCTGGCAGGCATTGCAACATARAAGAATACTGACTTCTCAAAATTCAATTTACTGAGAAAAGTCTAATGTTGAAGCAGGTGTAGTAGCATAAAATACAGTAAACCTACAGATTTATCTAAAAATACTGTTCAGCAATTATTTTAATTCAATGAAGCTATAACATACCATGAAATTGTATCTTACTGATGATTTTAAGGGTAAGGTGGTTATATTAAATAAGACATGTGTATGTGTTTCTGACTGATTAATAATGTCATTATTTCTAAACAAACAAAATAAATACACATCTTACCACTATGATAAAATGTCATCTGTACATACATAAAAGATAATAGCTGAAAGAAACCAAAATTTATTAATCATGTGAACTGAATATTAAAAGATTTTACACTAAGAAATATGACAACTTACTGTTTCTACAAATTGAAATTTTTTAGTCTCATTAACTTCTTGAAGTTTGAAGACATAATCAAGAGCTGTCTGATGGAAGACTTTCTTTTCATGTTCAACTGAAGAGTCAGCCTTAAAAAATAATGAAAATTATTGATTTACCAGATATACCTACATGAATATTGCCATAACATAAATAAAACAAAATAGCATAAATAACATTTCTAAGACGCTGTTTACATGAGATAGGGTGCCCCTAGTGGTATAAACTCCTTTGTTTTAAATCCTCCAGGGAGATGAAAACAAAAGATTTAGCCCTACCACGTAGGGGTACCCTATCTCATGTAAACTGGAAGGTATAAGTAAAATGTTTTAGCACTAACAAAAAATATTGTTTTCCTTTTACATTTAGGTGTAAATTAGTATCAAGTGGGCATTTACACCTATGAGTACCTCTTTTAACTGTGTTTCTTTCTTCTTGGATGACATATTGACATAATTTTGTACAGTCAGACAAAATTTTTCAGTTTGTTTGTCAAATTTCTTCTTTTCATCCTAAACAGAAAATATTTTCAAGATGGTGACACATTCTGATGAATATTATTAATTACATGTAATGCAGTTCATGCCACAAAATTAATACATTGTTATTTTGACAGCTCTCCTTACAAACGTGAGTCACACTATACTTTTGTTGACAGCTGTCAATCAAAACATTTTTTTTACAATAAGATGACAAGTTTCTAGAAACTAAAATTTTATAATTTCATATCCAAAGCCACAAAAATTCCTGCAGCTTGCAAGCTAGAAATCTGAAACACATTTCATGTACTTGTATTATAATAGCCGGTCTATATCCGTTTCTCTGTTTCTCACCCCTCCAAAAAAATTGGTGAGAGAAACGGATGTACACAGGTTAGTATTATAAGTACCTTGGCACCACCAATTTGTTCCTTTCTGAAAGCCTCCAAAGGCTGGATGAGTTGAAAGTTTGCATGATTGATCTAAAAGTAAGAAATAATCTACATCACTTTGATAGACAAACTGAAATCATCCTTTAAGATTCAAACTCCTATAGTTTAGCTGCAAAACTGATAGTCAGCACTAACTTCCATGCCATACCATAGAGGTTAGAGCTTTGGCAACTCTTTGGAATAATATTTGTTCAGGAGATTTAGTCRTTTGAGGAAATACAGTGAGAGGGAATTGGAGAAAGTCTATTTAGACTGGTRAAGATTCTTACCATTCGAAGCCTTTCATCTTCAACTACTTGGATTACTGATGCAAATTCCTTTAAAGCAGCAGCTAATAAGAAAAAAAAACATATTTCATAACTGGAGAGCTAAGGAAAGTAATAGTATATGTGCAAGAAGTTCTCAAACGCTTCATAACATTGTGAAAAGTACAAGAAAAAGATAACTTACCAATGAGTATTTCATCGTCTGTCTCCACTTCACCAATACACTCAAATCTAAAATTATCCAGTACTTGAGCAAAGCTTTGYTGGGCTTTTGATAGATCTGTTAAATAAGAATCAAGTACAAAATTATTGTTTAAACTTAAAATGCAATAGAGATGGATAATAACCTTTACTATATAAATCACATGAGGAAATTACTGAACATTCAAACACTTTCAATAGTTTTTTGTCACTAGTCTAGGACCAACACCTTTAAATGCTTTTAGTAAAAGCGTGAAAAATTAGCAATAATATTGTACTATTTTTTGCTAATTCTTTTGTTCATCTAGCACTATTTTGTACAATTTAGTAATTAGTGTTTTACGCTTTTGCTGAAAACAATCTAATCAGTGAAATTCAAATACAGTACATAATAGCACTTCATAAGAATCATATTCACAAGGAGAGTGTCAATGAGTAAAAGTTCCAGACCTTAATTGATATATAGGAACAATATTGCAGATATTCTGAATATTTTCAAATAATTGTGTTTAATAAATTAGCACGGATAGTTACTTGTTAACAAACCAAAATAATATAAATTACAACATTTCTAGACAATATCAATGATTTTAACAAMAATCCAAATAAAATATACAGTATATAATTTGAGAAAAACAAAAATCATAATAATCAATATTCAAAATAAAATTCCTCAATACAGTTTATCAATTATTTACAAAAACACAACTATAAGAACAATGTGATAGCAGGAAGTCAATATTAATACCAGAAACACTACACATGAATGAAATATTCCTACTATTTCAAATATGAACACACAGAGTGTCAGTAAGTTTCTACAATAATATATGTATCTGCTCATAAACAGATTGATTTTGTGGTGAATATATGACATCACTAAAAGATGAAGCCAAAATGGTAATGGCGTATAGAAAACCACAGGGTTTGACAGGCTATTCTTGATTTGAAAGACCAATGACTGGATGAATGTATATTTTGTGGAAGACGTATGTTATGACACTTTGATCAAAATATGCATTTTTGAATAAATCAAAATATTACATTCACAAATTTATATTTTAGGAATAGCTATGAGCTGTTTTCTTTTTCTGGATGATAAAAGAAAAATACAAAATAGCTGAAATGACCGAAGAAATCACTAAAAATATAATAATAGACATGTTTTTTCTATATGTATTAATGAACATGAAGCTGAAGTGGTTTTCATAAACCTGTAAAACTATATAGCATACTGCACTTTATTTCTATTTATTGTGAATGCTTTTCTTTTGTGTGTCATACTTTGTTTCAAAGGATTTRAAAATCTAACAAAAGACATCTCATCAGCACTTCTCTACATAACACATTCATGTCAAATGTGGTAAAACAACGTACAGACACCTCAACAGTTGTTAATAACGTTACAAATAGACTGAAATAATTACTTGTGACAAATGTAGTGTGCATAGCTAATTTAACTAGACATGTACAAGAATTGTTCACTTCCTGCTTCYAATTTTTCCCCAGTACAAGAGATTTTCCCCATACGATTTTTATTAAACTCCGGTAGAAAAGGTGGTGATGTTGCTTTCAGCATWAGCAGCAAGAAACACCAGTTTTACTTAAACAAGAACGAAAGACTAGATAGCAATCAAAGGGAARCAAGATTACTAAACTAGAGAGTTCCTAGAATTTAGATAACACAGTGCGTATGATAAACATTGAAGGCGCTTAAATAACACTTTCCCAAACCCTTAAACCAAAAATTTCCTTTGTRGATTTGAGGATTGCGGAAATCTAAACCACATAATATCATGCAACCGCTCTTTCATCGAGTTGGAATACGAAAATTCGAGCTATTTTGGTAGCAAGGATTATTTGCATAACAGAATGTGGTATTCAAGTCAAGATTGAATATGAGCAAACGGACGGATGTGATGAAGTCAATTTCGACATATTTTTATAATCTACAGGCGAATTTCTAAGTTTGAGTAGCTTATAAAGCTGAATTTGTGTCAGCTACACAAGAAATTAATCTAACATCTGACAACTGAATCCTAGCAAACAATTGCGAAAGAGATCTTCCAGTTTTACCCGACTTCTGACTTCACTATATCACAGATACACATAATGTGCAATGATATATAGCATTACAAAGTTAGAATTACAAAATCTTACTTTCAGTAGCTTTAAGCAGCGCTTTGCATTCCTTGATTAAACCTTTGATGGCCTCGTTCGTCTGTTCGAGTTCCCGCTCATGATCGTGGATATTTTCACGAAAATATGGACTATCCAGCAAACAGTCAGCAAATTCTAGAGGCTTAAGCCCCATTCCTTATCCAGTAGGATTATTGCGTCGAAACAGCAGTTAAAAGAGGGTAAACGATTGTGGTAAAATTCACCAAAATCTCKTCGAAAGCTCAATTTGTCCAGGTTGAGATGCTTGCTTGCAAGAAGTTTTGATTGCGTGTGCGCATGCTCGAGCGATCGTCATAAAGTGACCCCACCCCTCTTAGTACAGTTCAAAAGAAAACAAAAATCGAAAGAGATGGAAATGAAATAAAGTATCCGAATAAAAACACTGGGCAAGCCATTTCGGATTTTGATGMAAGACGGTGGTAGGATGCAATAGAGTCTTTTACCATCAATTCACCAAAAAAAAATTACAATTTGATCCACTTGTTATCTTTGGGAAAAATTATTATTTTTTAATGCTTACCTCCTTTTCTGAAATAGCATCATGCATTTTTGTCTAGGTTTACTACAAACATATTTTGTTCATGCAGGAAAATACCATGTCGTTTGTACCAAAACTAGACCACAATGCATTACGATTTTTTTTAATTTCTGAGAGGTCTTGACCACCGAAAGATCTCCTGTGAAACATTATAGCACACTCTATAACTTTGTAAATATATTTATATCACTTTATTCTTAAAAATAATTAGCTATTTATGACATACTGAACAATTCAACAAAACATAAAGATATATTTAATTATAATCACTCACTTAAAAAACTTAAAAAATATTACAACAAGTAATGAAACCTTGTAAAGTGTCAAGATAAGATTATTACCTGATCGATACTTGCACACACAATAAAATTAGCACCCACTGTTCAACAGGGATCAATTATTATCCAGGATTTTCAATAAATGGGTTCAATTTTGTTGGTTGACTGATTGTACCAGTTATTAATAATAATTTCAAAATTCCAGCCATTTACCTGGATATTGAAATTCACAAAATATACACATTTTCACACATTTRTAAATATCTATGACATAACTTATTAATCCACATTGCTACATTTATAGCCCATGCTTTTGTCATAAMACAATATAAAATAGCAGTTTTATTAATAGTTTTTTTAAATAAATTTTCATAAGGCATTCACAATCATTGCTGTGACTGCATCTCTATATGAGCAAGAGATTAATTGTCCTGATTTTGCACACAACTTTAACTTTTGTCTTAAAAATGATAGTTTTTAGTGAAATATACTTAATTAGCTTATGTTGGAATTTGATAAGCAATATATTAAGGTCTCCTGCTCATATTTTATATCTTACATACACATGTATACAGCAATATTCAGAAATTGTGATCTTTTTTACTCATATTTCAAGTACAKCTCTCTCGTAATTGCGACCACCTCGAGAACAGGAAAAAGTATGGTTGCTTACGAGAAAGTTTTTTTTAACAGAGTTTATATGGGAAACTGAACAAAACAGGAAATTTAAAAGTTGGTCGCTTACTGGAGATGGTCGCTTACTAGAGTGGTTGTTCAAAGAGAGTTAACTGAATATATAAAATTATATATCAGAAATTATGGTAGGTCATCGCCAATATTTTTTTCAGAAAGTACTCAAGTGCTAGGGATATCATCGCCAATATTTTTTGAAGTTGCCAAAATTTTGATATATTTTATTATTTACTTGGAATAWGAGTCATCAAAATGATCATAATTTCTGCATATCACTGTATATTACCACTATAACAATAAATAACATAAATAACTATAATAATTATTATATGAATGTGCATGACTACTACAGGCTAGGTTAAGTGTCATTATATTTTATCGTGTTTTGACAATTAAACTATACATGAAAGTACAGTACATGGAAGCTTTTTGTCATTTATCAATAATTAATAATGACTTTGACATATTGAATGTTCTCTCTATAAATGCTAATTTTTTTAGCTCATTAAATCTTTCATTAAAAAATTGCTTAGAAACGATTGCTCAAAATGTTATTTTGTCTAAAAATGCTTGATTTATGACAAACATTTACATTTTCATTTTAATTATCCACTATCTCTACCTTATACATTTACAATTGTTATGTGGATACGTGTGATAGATGTAGTGTGAAGGCTTTT